CTCAATGCTCCTCTCCGCTTCAAATATGATGAACATTAAAAAAGGTTCTGTGATTTATTGAGGCTATAAGTTCTGTAATTTATTGAGGCTAGACATCAATTTAAAAATTGATGTCTAGCCTGAAGCCTGTAATTTTGACACAGTTTGGAAAAGATTTTTTACCAAATCTTTTCCACTAAATTGGTATTTGACTAAGACATAAGGGTGTCCAGGGACTCCAGGGGATTAATCGTCAAATTAATTGTTATCGGCTAAATACCAAAATTCATCGTGATTAATTTTTTTGCCAATATTGCCCGACCCTATCCGACTTACACATCTTTTCATTTCAATGTCAGGCTGTCACACTGCCAATTACAGTGCAACACTTTCTGAAGTCATAAAGCAATCAAAATTACATTTGTGATAAAATGCATATTTGAACATCAACAAAATAAATATTTGAATCAACAAAAATCAACAACTTAAAAAATATTTGAAGTGTCTTTTGTGTGTAGTGAGGAAACTAACCTGTTCATTACATACATGTAAGGGTGGAACTTCTCTCATTGCAGCTTAAATTTCATTAGCTAAGTTGCATTTAAATTTTATACATTTAAAAATAAAATTTTCGGTCAGTAATACATTTCCAAACTCAGTTAGCCTTCCTTGTTTTCCTGTTTTGTTTGTTGATGGCACAATAAATGCTGGGATACCTTCGGCCGCATAGGGTACTCAGATGCAGCCTACGTTTTATATGTTTTGTGGGCCGCACTTGTCAGCTGCATGAGAAGGAGCACACGAAATGGGACAGCCTACGGCGCGATGCAGTGATGTAACTGGCCTACAAATGTACACTATGTAGGTTGCAGCCACTGAATTGAGCTATAAGTATCTACACAACTTTTGCYACATTGAAAAGCAAAAATATTGTTGTCCACCTTCACCATTCAGCAGTGGGTGATAATCCTTTGTTGACTTGTGTTATCCTGCATATCAGATTCTGAAGCTACAGTAAAAGCACAAATAGGGCTGGGTAAAAAAATAATTTATTTTCCTATATCGATTCATATGGCATGAGATCAATTTTCTGCATGCCGTTAACCTCAGTAGTCCTGATAAAGGAGAGGCATGTTTATGTTTTGTGTCACTCCTGACTTGCCGTACGTTTATGTCGGGTTGACGTTTAGCGCTGTTAGCTTCCGACAACAAGTCGTTTGGGTCAAAACAAAGAAAACTAAGGAATCACTAACATTACCAGCAGTCTCTGTGGGACATAAAGATCAATCAATCAATCAATAACCTTTATTTAACCAGGCAGAAAACCCATTGAGATCAGGATGTCTTTTACAAAGGTGACCTGGTCAAGAGGTCTGCACGACACGTCACATAGTTTATCAGAGTTAATATTTATATTGCGGTTAAAGTAAAACAATTCAAAATACAACCGTTACAGACTAAAGTAATTCCCAAATTACGTCCGAGTGATATGCATTTCTTAAAAGTGAATAGTGAGACATTAAAGGCACAGTGTGTAGGATTTGTTGTTTTCAGCTACATCTAGTGGTTGAGTGGTTGAATCATCCTCCCTGGTCCTCCCTCCACCCCCACCCCCCGCTTCCAAACACAAAGGAGTTGCTATGGTGTCTCTCAGGTGTCAAAAACCTTTGATAATTCCAACCGCGATGTCT